GTCAATCTCGATTAATTATCTTGCCTTAGTACTTCTTTTTCCTTCAACAAATTAGTTATATGTTGGTTTTTTCTTCTGTAATGGGGCGTTGTCAGGGAACCCATTCCCCAACGAAGGTGGGGATGAGGAATTCTCGATATGGATATTGCGGGTATGAGTGAAAGCGGGTATGGGAAAAAAAAGCTTAATGGGGAGGGGGATGGAGATGGGAATGGCATACCCACCCCCGATTCGACCAATTGTCATCCCCAAAATCTCTATCTAGCCAATAAGATGAAATTAGCTCTATATGAATATAATAAAAAATACCTAATGATGCACTAATTAAAACCCTAAACAATGTCTCTAGTCCACAAACAAAATAACTTACTTTGGAGGATGCCAACAACGACAATCATAGTTAATTATTTGAATGACGAATTGATTATCTATAATTAAACTCTTTTCAGCATAATGCAGGGTATTTCAAAACAACTAACTTTTTCTTGAGGGGGAGATTCCATGGTTTGTCGTTTATTAACTTGCAACTCTATGCATATCACTTAGAAAACTACACACAAAATTGTAGTTTTGCATGCAATTTCATGGTTTCTCCATCCTCACTTTCAATATTGATATATTGTTTAGTCTCTAAATATAGGAAACTTGATCAATTTTAGTTTTTCAACATCCGTACACCAAATATGAAGTAGAAAATACGACGGATCAAATAATAGAGGACTCCCATGCAGCCCATAGTAAATGATGACATTGACAAGGTGGTACGATATTTTTGAAGTTCGTTTAGCTCCATTAAGGATTCTATGTTAAGAATTGGTTCTAATATCGATTATTGAATTGCATCTGTGGTACATATTAAAACAATATCTAACCCTTCAATATATGTAATGGACGACTGAGATTATAATTCCTCAATTAGTCATTAACGCAAAGAAGAAATTCCCTCGAGCTCGTTTAATTAATAAAACTAAAGATTTTGGCCTGGCCTCAATCAACTTCCACTTAGATGCATGTACCCAAGAAATAGCTAATTAATATCATACTATACATAACATATAGTATAATATACATTAATAATAATAATAATCATAAGATTATAATAGGGAGAAAAATAATTGGTTGACCATATGGACCGACATATCTTCTCCGGATGTGTGGGGATTTTGTACACATGGGACATATGATCATATAGATCCAATTAATCTTGATGGTTCCTGTAAAAATAAATAAATAAATAAAATATTGCTGTTGGGCTTGGTCGAACCTTTGGCAAGAGCCGCACGCATTGGCATTTTACGTTGAGCTTCGGTATTTTCTTTTCTTTTTTATGTTAAGGATTTGATTTACGTTTTCAGATAATTATTTCCAAAATAGATAGTTATTAAGTGGTTCCACCTTTGACCTACATTATTATAGGAAGAAAAAAAAAACCTTTGACCTAATTCAGTTTTAAATAATAAAGAATAAAGAATAAAGAATAGGAAAATTTTCTCCGCCAAAGGCCCGTCCTCAGAGCAATACGGCCAAACCTCCAGCTCCAGATAAATCTTATTGACTGAAAGAGGAGCTCAACTCGCTTTTGGATGCTAATTTAAATGTATATAAATTTTGCAACTAATGTAGTGGTTTGGAGTAATTGTTCCTTCAGATAAAGTTTTGGGTTCGAGTTCTAGCATTCGTGTTGTGTGTGTGAGTTTAATATATTATCGCATCTCTCAATAAGAAAAGTCTTATTGTCATAAAAGTCAAAATAAATTCAATCTTGTCATATCTACATCCTCATCTGTTCAATCCTAATACTTGTTGTTCTGTTGACCAGAAAAGAAAGCAAATTGTGATTCGTATAGGGATATTCATATTGTAAACGGTATAGTTAAGTGGAACATCACTAATCTTTTTTAATCAATAGAGAATGGAAATTCAAACTCATGACGTTTTTAGACATTAGGAAAAGAAATACCATAATAACAAGTGTTAGTTCGTAAACGTCACTAATCTTTGAATTGCAACCAGGTACATGTATGGTTTTATAAGATTTTTTCCTTTGATAGAAATTTAAATGAGAAATTAATAGAGAATTCAAATAAATTCCATTGTACGTTTAAAAGCTTACCTTTGATGATAAATAAAAAAAAAGCTTAAAATAATAAGCTAAGCAGACATAGTTCAAAATTTTATGCTTTAAAATTGAATTATAAGGAATGTGCTAAACGTGCCATGCAGGAAAAATAAAAACCTAATATCTTGGATGCCCGTTTGAATGGAGGATATACATTTAAAATTTTCGGTTTTTGGACTTCAAATTCATAGGATTATTTTAAGGGAAATTCAAAGTAGATGTTTAAATGAGTTCTCGAAATTAGGGTTTAATTAACCTTTAAATCAAAGATGCAAGATGTGAAGCGACGCTTCAAAAGAAATGGGAAAACGTTTTATTGTTTCTAAGAAATGGGAAATCGTTTTTATAATTTCTTTTGGTTTAAGAAATAGGATAAAGTTGGTAAAGAGTCTATATATTATAGTTTTGTTTTTCTGAATATTTATTAAGTTTGAACAGATGCTCATGAAGTAAGCAATAACGTATGTCTTCAACTTTTACTTCCATGGCTTGTTGCTCAAGTAATCCTTAATCAAAAGCTATAATTAAAGCCACCGCTTTACTGTTCATTTAATGCAAACAATAACCTAACCTTTTCTGTCCATTTAAATCTTCAGCATGGCCAACGGGTCTAGCTCAGTAAAAAAAGACTTTGACTTGCAGACTAGTAGGTAGTTTAGAATATCGCTTTTATTAAATAAAAAATAAAAAATCTTCAACGTGTGTTCGACACTTGAAGTTGGAACTCTTATTAGAAAACTGACACCTATTAGCCAAATTATTGGAATTAGACTTCACTAATATTAAGATAACGTTAATTAATTTTAACCCTAAACCCTTGAAAAAAATTTCTGGAAGCCATATATGCCATAGAATCGACGACCCTCATAGACCATTTGGAGTCAACCCCATGAAAGATTCTTCTTATTAATTTTTGTTTGGCTTAGTGGAAAGCCCACATGAAAACATGCATTGCATGTAAAGGCAAGATCTTTTTCAAGATTTGGATTGTCTTTGCTGGGATGATCCCAACCCTTGATCTGCATACTCTGAACCCACGTCCAGCTATAGTTTGATCTAACACGGTTGACAACAGAAATATAAAAACAATTTGCAATTCATTTGTCATGATTTTCTTTTGACTTCTGAACTATTTTTCTCCTATTTGAAATAAGATGGAAGGTGTGTTATGTTTTATTTTTGTTTTCTCTAAGAGAAGAGAGCATCTTAAGGGATGAAGCAATTAATCTATGTGACAACTCCACATGAAAATTTAATACCACAAGAATGTCACTCTAGCCCACTCTTCAATTTCTATTATTCTATTACCATCTTCTGTATCATGTAAATAATAAACCCAAGAAAGAGTATCAATCTTTACTTTTATTCTTTTAATAATTAGTTTTTTTTATAAAAAAAATAAACAAGTTTTGTCTTTCGAGAAGCTAATTTGGTGGCTCATTGGCTTGTTTGTTTTGCCTTATTGTCATATAAGAACCTAATAAAAGCCAAACCTTTTGGGCTTGGATCTAAAAACCCCTTATCATATTTACGTGTGTGGTTTGAAGTATGACTTGGAAATGCTTGAGCTTTGATTGCTTGCCAAGAAACTTCCCTCTTTCCAGGAAAAAAAAGTACAAGACTGCCAAGAGGTTCTGTCAAAGGAGAGGAAAATCCCTTTTGGGCTTTGATTGTCTGCCACGAAATGAAGACTAAATAATGCCAGAAAATTCCCCAAAAAAACGTCATAGTTTACAGGTAAACAAAAACGACCTTTAACCAAAATGCAGCATTCTTCTTCTTCTTCTTCCTCCCTTGTGAACAAAGTGCTTATTTTAACCAGGAATTGCGTCAACCAGACTGCATGTTCCATGTTACTAATTCACTCTTATCTTTGGAATTAATGAACAAATCTAATATATAATGGTTTAATTAATTTAAAAGTAGATATTGGATATATCATGCGAGATTTGTACAGCGTCAGTACAATGGTTTACAGAATCTTTCACTTACTTACTCATTAATTATGATTATTAAATAACGTCGGCAATCCATATAATATTACTTGGATTTTGAATTCTTGGACAGCTCAAACAAAATGGCACTTCATTCAAACTTACCTGTGAAGATGGGAAACACTAAAATTCGAATTATTAGTAATTTCCCCTGCATTTCCGGATAATCTCAGTAGTTTTTTATTTACTAACATAGGATAATTGCTAAGATAGTGGTACAACGGGGCGAAGCATCCATAACAAAGTTATGATGTTAGCCATAATTAAATACTGAACTCATTAGCCAACGAGGTCTAGCTCAGTGAGGAAAAGACCTTGATTTTCATATCACTGGTTTCAGGTTCCTCCCCTTAGGGCCCGTTTGGTTCAAGGTTTAGGAGCTTGGGAATGAGTTTCAATCCATGAATCAAACGAGCCCTATAGTTTAGACTATCACTTGTGTTAAAAAAAAAAATCAACTCATTACAAAATCGAAAAATCTTTGTACAACTTTAATTTTTATTTTTATTTTCTATTTTAAATTGAGCCATGTATATATGATATATGCCATTACATCATACTACAACAATGAATGTAGTACAAGTTGACTATTCATTAGCTTTGTGTATATATATACCCTCCTTTCACTTCAAACTCAAAAAATTCAAAACTCCAAACAATCCTTTCAATGCAGAAGCAGAGAAAAACAGAGCTGTCTTTTCACAAACGTTAATGTAACTCTCCAAGTCTGTCCATTCATAAATATTCAGACCCATCTGGGATACTGAGCTGCTTGAGCTCAAAAATCCATGAATGCGTATTAATTTTGCATGAGAGTTGCAGAAGGCTTTGTGGGTTGTGCTTGATTGCTTGATTGTATTGGGAAATTGCAATATAGTTAGTAAAAGATGGAGAGTGGAGGTGGTGGTGATATATACAGAGTGAGCAGCGCACGTTTGAGCAGTTCAAATATATGGAGGAACAGTGCCATGGATGTTTTCTCCAAGTCTTCCCATGATGAAGACGATGAAGAAGCTCTCAAATGGGCAGCCATTGAGAAGCTGCCTACTTATTTGCGTATCAGAAGAGGCATACTTACTGAAGGAGAAGGCCAAGCCAGAGAGATTGATATCAAGAATCTTGGGTTGCTAGAGAGAAAGAGTGTTTTGGAGAGGCTGGTTAAAACTGCAGATGAAGATAATGAGAAGTTCCTGTTGAAGCTTAAGGACCGGATTAATCGGTAAGTTTCACATCTTAATTAGCTTGTTTAGTGAAATTAGAGAAAAAGATTGAACAGAAAATGAATGTTTTTTGTTGTTGTTGTTGTTGAGGAATTTGTGTTTAGATTTTGATGAAGTTAATGTATTGAAATTCAGGGTTGGACTGGATATTCCAACAATTGAAGTCCGGTTTGAGCATTTGAGTGTTGAAGCAGAAGCTTATGTGGGAGGCAGGGCCTTGCCTACAATATTCAACTTTTGTGTTAACATTTTAGAGGTAATTCAATAGTTCATCATCTTTTAAAATTTGGAAGCTCTAATTTTTAATTTTATATATCTCAAAACTTAATGGTTTGACATTTTGTATTTTGAAGGGGTTCCTGAATTTTGTTCACGTTCTTCCAAGTAGAAAGCAACCATTACCAATCCTTGATGATGTTAGTGGAATTATCAAACCAAGAAGGTAACTTGACAAAACCAACTGATGCAATAATCATACACCTTTAAACTGGTAATTTCTCATTTTTCTGATTTGCCTTCTGCAGAATGACACTGCTTTTAGGACCCCCAAGCTCTGGAAAAACCACATTACTATTGGCTTTGGCTGGAAAACTTGCTAAAGATCTAAAAGTGAGGATATTAATCCAATTTTGTGTACAGCCCTTTATTGACAGAGTTGTTTCACTTCATAATTTGATAAACTTGCTTCTAACTTTCCAGTTTTCTGGGAGAGTTGCATATAACGGACATGGGATGGAAGAGTTTGTCCCGGAGAGGACATCGGCTTATATCAGTCAGAATGATCTCCACATAGGAGAAATGACAGTGAGAGAAACACTGGCTTTTTCAGCAAGATGCCAAGGGGTCGGACCGCGCTATGGTGAGTTGAAACCCCAGGAAATTTGACATATGTGGTTTAGCCTGAAGAATTTTCATGAATTGGAAATCTAATTTTTCATTTGGAAAATTTTCAGAAATGTTGGCAGAATTATCAAGGAGAGAAAAGGCTGCAAATATCATGCCAGATGCGGATCTAGATATCTACATGAAGGTAAACTTAATATGTATAGAACTTTCTGCTTATAACATATTTCAGTTAATGCAAAAGTATTGCTTAAAAGAGCCATTCTCAACATTTAGAAATGCTTCTCAACTTTTGCAGGCAGCATCACTAGAAGGACAAGAGACCAACGTAGTTACAGATTATATACTCAAGGTGGATACATTTTCCTTCTAAGTTTAAGCTCAAGAAACCAAAAAGACTAAAATCTGTATGAATTTTGTCAGAAAAAAAATTCAGATTTTGGGATAAGTTTTTCATATGCTAATAAAAACTTTGCAGATTTTGGGACTTGAGGTTTGCGCTGACATCATGGTGGGGGATGAAATGGTACGAGGTATTTCTGGTGGGCAAAAGAAGCGAGTCACGACAGGTAAAGCATTGATCATCTTATTGCCTACTGGTTTGTCACTGCATACTGGTTTGGTCATTGAAATTCTGATCCATAATTGCAGGGGAGATGCTTGTCGGACCAGCAAGAGCACTTTTTATGGACGAGATATCAACTGGTTTAGACAGTTCAACAACATTTCAGATAGTGAATTCACTCAGACAATCCATCCACATCCTCGGTGGAACTGCTCTTATCTCTCTTCTCCAACCAGCACCAGAAACTTATGATTTATTTGATGACATAATTCTGTTGTCTGATGGTCAAATCGTATACCAAGGTCCCCGTGAGAATGTGCTCGAGTTCTTTGAGCACATGGGTTTCAAATGTCCAGAGAGGAAAGGAGTAGCTGACTTCCTCCAAGAAGTAATTCTAATTTACACTCCTATTGTTGTCTTACCACTTTTTGTTCTTCAGAGAGTTTGAACTTCATTCGAACTTTGCATTTATTTTTTGCTTGCCTGCTGCACCATAGGTGACATCAAAGAAAGATCAGGAGCAGTACTGGGCGCAGAAAGAAGAGCCATATAATTTTATATCTTCCAAGGAATTTGCTGAAGCATTTCAGTCATTTCATATCGGTCGAAAACTTGGTGATGAACTTGCTACTCCATTTGACAAGTCCAAAAGTCACCCTGCAGCTTTAACAACTATGAAGTATGGTGTCAGCAAGAAGGAACTGCTCAAAGCTTGCATTTCTAGAGAATATTTGCTTATGAAGAGGAATTCGTTTGTCTACATTTTCAAAATGACCCAGGTAAGTGTTATTTGAGCAATAATCATGTAATCTGTTGGAAAATATTTCAAATTACTGGACATTCCACATATGAAATAGGTGCAAACTCTGTTTAAAAAGCAGAGCTCTTCAATGAAACTCAGTGAGTACTATGCATATTGATTTCATGTGGTGTTTGGTTTCAGCTCACTCTAATGGCTTTCATATCAATGACGCTATTTCTCCGGACTAAGATGCACCGGGATACAGTTGCAGATGGGGGTATTTACTTGGGTGCTATGTTCTATACAATCATCATAATTATGTTTAACGGGTTCTCGGAGCTTGCCATGACTATCATGAAACTTCCTGTATTTTTCAAGCAAAGGGACCTTCTCTTCTATCCTTCATGGGCATACTCTTTACCAACATGGATCCTTAAGATCCCTATCACCTTCATAGAATGTGCTGTTTGGGTGGTCATGACATACTATGTAATTGGTTTCGATCCAAACATTGAAAGGTGAGAAAGAAAACATTAAAGACACAAAAATTCCCATTCATAGTTCAGACTTGGTTTAGTATTTGATTTTGATGAAAATCAATGGCAGGTTTTTCAAGCAATACCTTTTACTCCTATGCCTTAACCAGATGGCATCAGGACTATTCAGATTTATGGGGGCATTAGGGAGGAATATAATTGTTGCAAACACATTCGGGTCTTTTGCATTACTTGCAGTTCTAGTTATGGGTGGCTTTATCTTGTCACGAGGTGAGTTAATGATACAATATAATCTAAGCAACTACAAAATTTCATTTTGTTTTTCCTGATATTGCAACATTATAACTGATGCTGTAAGACATGTCATTTTTTAATCAGAGGATGTGCAGAAGTGGTGGTTATGGGGTTACTGGGTCTCACCAATGATGTACGGCCAGAACGCTATAGCTGTCAATGAATTTCTTGGAAAGAGTTGGAGCCATGTAAGCATAAAAGGTTGAAGATTTGGAGAATTAATTTTGAAAACATTAGCTGATATGTATATGGATATATTTGTGTCGTAGGTTCCTCCTAATTCAACAGAATCATTAGGAATTATGGTCTTGAAGTCTCGCGGGGTTTTCATTGAACCATACTGGTACTGGATTGGAGTAGGAGCTACAATTGGATACATTTTTCTGTTCAATTTCTTCTTCACTTTGGCCTTACAATATCTTGATCGTAAGTACCTACCTATGCATATATGTATTTTTGGTGTTTCCAAATGGACATAATTTTCTAATAATCAATCAATATTCCTGCAGCATTTGGGAAGCCTCAGGCAATCCTATCCAAAGAGGCCTTAGCTGAGAAAACTAGTGATAGAACTGGAGATTCCATTGAGCTATCATCACGGGGAAAGAACTCTTCTGGTAGGTCATAAAGCTCCCAAGTATAGGTCTCCATCTAGCTTGCATATTTTGATTTATAACATGATTAATGCTTTGGTAAACAATGCAGACTCAAGGAATGAAAGTCGAAGAAGTGTATCATCCAGAACATTGTCGGCGAGAGTGGGCAGCATTACTGAAGCCAACGAAAACAGGAAGCGCGGAATGGTTCTTCCTTTTGAACCTCTTTGGATTACTTTTGATGAAATCACATATGCTGTTGACATGCCTGAGGTATATTTAAGTTTTATGTAAGAGGCAAGAGTTTTTAAGAATTCAGACTTGGAATATTTTCATGAACAAATTTGACCCTTCTTTTGTTATTACTCTCGAATTTTATTATAATTATAGCTATCAGACAAGTACTGTTTGACTGTTTATAGAAATGTACTTCATTGTAAGCCTTGAACTAATTCCTAACACAGAATGCATCTTTACCCTTAATCTTATTACATGGTTTCAGGAAATGAAAACTCAAGGTGTAACTGAGGATCGGCTACAGCTTCTGAAGGGTGTGACTGGTGCTTTTAGGCCAGGAGTCTTAACAGCTCTAATGGGCATTAGTGGTGCTGGAAAGACTACTCTAATGGATGTCTTGGCAGGAAGGAAAACAGGTGGATATATTGAGGGAAACATCACAATATCTGGGCATCCGAAAAAGCAAGAAACATTTGCTCGCATATCGGGATATTGTGAGCAAACTGATATACACTCTCCTCATGTTACGGTTTACGAGTCTTTGGTTTATTCTGCATGGCTCCGGTTGCCTCCTGAGGTTGATTCCTCAACAAGAAAGGTATATACTTTTGACCTATCTTTCTATTTTTATTAGAAGCTTGAGGTAGATGAAAGAAATAGCAACAAAAGGCAAGGTTGCATAAGTTCATTATTTATGTGGTCTGTTCTGCCAAGTTGTTGACCATAAATCTGATTCACGGTTTGCAGATGTTTGTTGAGGAGGTCATGGAGCTTGTAGAACTGACCTCGATAAGGGAAGCGCTTGTTGGATTGCCTGGAGTGAATGGTCTCTCAACTGAGCAGCGCAAAAGGCTAACGATTGCAGTAGAGCTTGTTGCAAATCCATCCATTATATTTATGGATGAGCCAACCTCTGGCCTCGATGCCAGGGCAGCGGCAATTGTAATGAGAACAGTGAGGAATACAGTGGACACTGGGAGAACTGTAGTATGCACCATCCACCAGCCAAGCATCGACATCTTTGATGCTTTCGATGAGGTGAGACACTCTTTTATGCTGTAGGATTATAAATTTGAACTACATAATGTGACAAGAACTGAACAATTCAATGTCCCCTTGCAGCTGTTTCTTTTGAAAAGGGGAGGTGAAGAAATATATGTGGGTCCTTTGGGCCGCCATTCTACCCATTTGATCAAGTACTTTGAGGTAAGGTTTATAGAAGCATGCTGCAAATATATGTATAACTTGTTTACTGCGGCCAATACATAGACCATTTGTTACCTATTGTCATATCTGATAAAAAATGTGACTGATATGGTTTTGTTTTGTCAAGGAAATTGATGGAGTTCCTAAAATTAAAGATGGTTACAATCCCGCGACTTGGATGTTGGAGATTACTGCAGCAGCACAAGAAGCAGCTCTTGGTGTCAACTTCGCCGAAATATACAAGAACTCAGAACTCTATGGGTAGGGTTCCCTTGAAGTTTCCAATACTAATTCTAAATCCCCCTTCTAGAGACTCTGAACTGAAACCTGTTCAACTCTTAAAATTTTGATTGAAAGCCCTGATACTGCAAATTAGTAATAGTAATGTGTTGAATGGTTCAGGAGAAACAAAGCTCTGATAAAGGACCTTAGTACTCCTCCAGCAGGTTCAAAAGACTTGTTCTTCCCTACTCAATACTCTCAGTCTTTCTTCAGCCAGTGTATGGCCTGTCTATGGAAACAACATCTATCATACTGGCGAAACCCGCCATACAGTGCAGTGAGACTCTTGTTCACAACTTTCATAGCTTTAATGTTCGGGACGATATTCTGGGATCTCGGCTCCAAAAGGTAAATGGCAACTTAAAGTTAAAATAAAATACAGATCGAATAGTTTGAGAATGAAACCCTTGATCTATTAGTCCTTATTTTGACGAGAGTTTCTTGAAAATGCAGGAGAAGCCAACAAGACCTTTTCAATGCAATGGGTTCCATGTATGCTGCTGTTCTCTTCATTGGTGTACAAAATGCTTCATCAGTGCAGCCAGTTGTGGCTATTGAGAGGACAGTCTTTTACAGAGAAAGGGCAGCTGGAATGTACTCAGCATTGCCATATGCCTTTGGACAGGTACATTACTCTCAATCTATGAAGTTCAGCAAGGTTGGATATAAACATGGATTTCATCAGATTTTGGTGAATTTGGTGATGATAGTTTTTCTCATCAAACTCCCATGTTTTGCAGGTTGTGATTGAGCTCCCGTACATTTTTGTTCAAACCATCATATACGGAGTTATAGTATACGCCATGATCGGATTTGATTGGACAGTGAGCAAATTTTTATGGTATCTCTTCTTCATGTACTTCACTTTCCTATACTTCACATTCTACGGCATGATGACCGTAGCCGTCACTCCCAACCACAACATTGCTGCCATAGTCTCCTCTGCCTTCTATGCTATATGGAACCTTTTCTCAGGATTCATCATTCCAAGAACGGTAAATTCCTAAAATTTCTTTCCATATCAGTTTTTTTTTACCTTTGTTTAAGAATTTTCCTGATGTATCAACCCAACCATTACTTAAACGATGTACTAAATTTGTTTCTACGACAGAGGATGCCGATTTGGTGGAGATGGTACTACTGGGTTTGCCCGGTTTCGTACACACTGTATGGATTAGTTGCTTCACAGTTTGGAGACATTAAAGAAATATTTGATTCAGGTGAAAGTGCTGGTAAAAGTGTGGAACACTTTGTAAAGGACTACTTTGGCTACAGACAGGACTTTCTGGGAGTAGTTGCAGCCGTCCATGTCGGGATTTGCGTGCTCTTCGGCTTCACCTTTGCCTTCTCAATCAAGGTGTTCAACTTCCAAAAGAGATAAGGAGGAAGTTGAGAATGCTAACATGAAAGCAAAGTCCATAGTTTCAGGGTTTGGTGAAGTTTCAAGATGTTAGCAAGTGTGCATACAGATATTGTATACATATGTTAGGATTTATGCCGTTTGCCATACAAGGAAACTCCAAGATCTTTCTTCTCAGTTTTTCTGGGGCAAGGGGCAAGCCAACTCCATATGCATGGAGTTTGATCTGAATTTTGTAATTGTATTTTAATTTATAGCATGTAAATTTCGTTTTATCTTTCAATATAAATATATCTTTTGCGCCAGTAGAATATTACATCCTGTATCTCAGCTATATGTAATTGTATTTTCAACATATAAATTGATGAAGTTTCCCATTATCCTGAAAACGAGCATGTTGGTTCCGTTTATTCCGGATGAATCAGATGTTACGCATGTCATTAGTTGCCCATCTGTGCATTTAACATCATTGTATATGTTCTTGACAACGTGTTCTTTTCTAGCGTGTTCGTGACATGTGAAATTGTAATCAATTTAAATCCAGCCCGTTAATTTATTGCGTTGCATTCAAATACACGAACCCAATTTCATTCATAAATTTTGAGTATGGCGTTGTGTTTCACCTCTTTATTTGTTTTGCTCTATTTTATTTATTTATTAATGTAACGTGTTACTATTGTGTTTCTTGAATGAGCATTGATTAGACATTAGTCCAGTGAATTAAAGTCGTACAAGTGAGAATGTGAGATATAACCTAAGAAATGGAAGCTCTCAACAGAAATTCCTCCTAAGAATGGGGAAGGAAATGTATTTTGTAATTTTTCTGATTTAAATTCAGAAGTCAGCAGTGACGTCTCCAATGAATAAAAATGCAGTAAGCAATGACGTTTAAAGAGGCAAAGCAGATCGGAGAGAAGGACGTACGTACTTCATATATAAGTCATTATGTTTATCAAAATTATGGATGTGTCACTTGTTATTTTGCTAATTAATAATTCTTCTTACGCTACTCTGCTGAGTCATTAAATTTATTTTAATGTAATTGACCAAAATAATAATAATTTATTTTAATGTGGATCATCCGGCCGCAGTCTGATATTTCCTTTTCTAGTTATGCTTTAAAAATTAATCTAATTAGTCATCGCCGGCCCTGTAACTAAGTAGCACTGAACCACGTCATTTTATTGTTTTTATTTTTTTTAATGGAACGAGGAATTTGAATATAAGATCTCTTCTAAAATTGAGAAGAAAAAAAAATCATTTGATAAAGAGCTAATTAATTCAATTATATTCCATTAATATGGAATTTTTAACTTACATCCGAAGAAATTACTATTGTATTGATTGTGCCCTTGCACAAAAGTGTGCTTTACTTAAATAGTAATGTTATTTGGACATACAACATTGACACACTTAGTGACACCCGCTGATGTGTCAATGTATCATTTGCTCTTCTTTTCTCCTCGTTTTCTGTTCAACGAATGATGCATTGACACACTTATTTTATTTTTACAAAATGATATTCTAAACTATTCCACACTACATTGAATCAACTAGTCTCTAGGCCTACATCCTACTAATCCAACACCAATTGGCTCATGAATTCATAATTAACTGCATGGTTAGATGGAAGGTAGATATAGATTGAAAGTTGGCAAAAGATTAGGCTGTAATTGCTGTGTTCTATTTTTTTTTTTTTTGTCTAATCCTATACATGTAAGGGAAATTAATCTATTTGTTTGTACATGTTTATATTTGTTTTTGTGTAAATCAAGGTGTTTCAGGCCTTGTATTGTCACATTCTCAAGTTTATTGTTTTTTTATTTTATCTTTTTAATGGAACAAGGAATTTGAATATAAGATCTCTTCTAAAACTGAGAAAAAAAATTATTTGATAAAGAGCTAATTAATTCGATTATATTCCATTAATATGGAATTTTTAACTTTGGATGTTTATTATAAGGGTAATTCTATATGAACCCAATTATTTGTTCTTTGCACCCCACATTTTCTTTACACCCTATTGATTTTTAATAAAATTTAAAATTACTCACTATACCCCATTTTTCTTCCAAAATTGGCCTCATGAACCCCATTCCCTAACATATTGTGTAAACCCCATCCCATATCATACACCACCCATTGAAAACCCCCTTCTCTTTCAGACACACCCCATCTCATATCAAAAATCACCCCATCCTATATCAAGTCCCACCCCATCGAAAATTCCCTCCTCTTGCAGACACACCCAATCGCACACCCCATCAGATTTCAACAATCTCCATCGTACACCTCATCCAATTTGAAACAGAGCCATTGTAGCAAACCCCAACCCCATCGTAAACCCCCATCGCAGCAAACTCCAACATCGTAAACCCCCATTGCACACCCCATTGCCAACCACAAACGCCTCATCCCGTCGCAAACCACCATCGCCTTTGCCATCGCAAACCCCCATAGACGATCTGTCAATTTTGCACAATCCCATCTAACCTCAAAATCCTTCTAAAAGCCAAGGTTTGATTTCAATTTTGATTTCTATATTTACGTTTTTGAGTGTTGATTAAGCCTAGGTTTGGTTTCACTTTTGAAAAGCCAAAGTTTGATTTTAAATTTTGATTTCAACTTTGTGGGTGTATGGTTCGAACTTGGTTTTACAAAACTAGATTTTACTTCAGTGGGTTACCACCGAAATGGTTACATTGTTTCAGTGGTAGTTCACCGAAATTGAACTTGGTTTGTACGAAAATTAATTTTACTTTCGGTGGGTTACCACCGAAATCGTTACCTTGTTTTGGTGGTAGTCCACCGAATTTAATTCTGTTTTTTAGTAGCTGTCCACTGAATATATTTTCATTTTTCAGTGTTACTCCACCGAATATGTTTTCGTTTTTCAGTGATTGTCTACCGAATTTGTTTTCGTTTTTCAATGATAATCTACTGAATCCGTTACTGAGTTTGTACTTGATATTGTTTTTTAGATATGAAGAGGACTCGCAGAGGTACTATTGAGGCTTCATAATCTCGACTTGATAGACAGCGTCCCACAGCCTCAACGAGGAGACAAAGAATGGCTCTCCAAGATCACTTTGAGGATACTACAGAGGTTGAAGATGTAGCTCTTACTCATGATAGTAATATTGACGCAGAGGTTGAAGATGTAGCTGCTACTCATGATAGTAATGTTGAGGTACATGCCAAGCCTAGTAAGCCATCTCGAGTAGGTCCCATTGATCCATTTTTACTTATGAGTTTTAAAACTCATGTAGCAGTTGCAATTTGGAATAACCAGGTAAGTTGTTTTACTATAACAATAGAACGCATAATATAAGTCTGGTTCATGGTAATTAACTTTTTTTTTTTTTTTGGTATTTGACTAGGAACGTGAGCCCTTTAGGTGCATGTCGAAGACATCTACCCTTCGTGATGTAGCAAGTTTAACAAATACATACATGGACCATTGGGATCACGTTCATGCATGAGGAAAGTCTTAATAACCTATATCAAATAAGTGTCTCTTCGTACATCTTTGTGAGTTATAGGGAGGTTTCATGTGAAGTTATCATTAGGAGGGAAGTTGGGATAGGAAAGGTTATCTTATAAATAATGCATGAAATTGTAAGAAAGGGGGAGTTGATATTTGTTATTGAATGAAGATTGAGAATTTTTCTCTCATCTCTTTACTCTTTTCCTAGGTATTCTCAGAATTAACAGATTAGAGTTTTAATTCCGGGTATTCTTAGAATCAACGGAGTTAAGTTTGCTTGGAAATTATCTTTTGTTCTTGTTCCGCTGCATCACTTCGTAAGTGGAATTGGTGGGCTAATCCAAATAATGGTATATTCAAAGGGTACATTTAGAGGTATGGATTAGAGCAATTTATTAGGTGTTCTTATCGGAATGTAGATAAGATTGTAGTATCTACATTTGTTGAGAGGTGGCATCCCTAAACGAACACCTTTCACATGCCTTTTGGTGGGATGACCATCACATTGGATGATATGTCATCTATTTTAGGCATTCCTGTGTCTGGTGCAGCGGTTGCTCCGCTTGGAGATGATAACGACACAAATTTTGAGTTGTTAGTTAATTACTTATGAGTGACTGATGAAGAGGCTACTGAACAATTGCACCAATACAGTGATGAGTATTTGAGTTTGTCATGGTTACGGGCGTGATTCTCCAATGTTTCATACACAGATTCAGTAGAGCACATCATGCATTCGGCCAGAGCATATTTGCTATATCTCTTGGGTTGCACTTTGTGTGTTGACAAGACTGGCACGAGAATCCAAATTATGTACCTTAGACTACTTAGAGACCTTGATAGTGTTGCTAGTTATTCATGGGGATCTGGGTGCTTAGCATGCCATCTATATAATAAATGTCATGCTTTTGGAAATATAGACGTAATATAATTCATGAGTGCTAACTCTCGATCAGTGACAATAACACCAGGAAGACAATTATCATTCAACAAACTCCTCAATGCAGTCAAAGCTCATGTGTAATTGTCTTCTTTCTCGGCATTCATATACACATACGCAACAGAGAATGTCATATTAGTAGATGTCACCCCCACAATTTGCAATTTTTGGGAAACGATGCCTATTAGTCTTATAGATGCGATTCATGATAAGTACATGTGGAAATGCACGCAAAATCTTAATATTAATGGGGTGTGTCCAAAACAAGTCAGTTAAAATATCACCAAATGTCCTATGCCACTCAATATAATTGTGTTCGGATAACTTAGTAAGCAATTGTTGCATTTGTGTTCTCCCAGCAAATTCTTTGGTTCTGTTTCGGATCCTAGCATTGTATATTGTATTCATAGTTGAAACATTCATTGCATCTCTGTCCTTTAGGGTGACCAAAATATCTCTGGGTTTCACCAAACTCTTAGACATGTTCACTAACAAGGCATTCTCCTCTTCAGAAAGTAGCCCCACAAATAAATGACCTTGAAGATACTCTAAAATAGGATGGTTGTGTACTCTGCAAATCACCTCCAACTTCCAATCATCTCCATCACCAATATTGACACATTTTAACAAGAATGGGCATCCACATTTCTTGGTACCAGTGTCCCTAGCACACTTTTCATATCACTATTTGCATATGACTTTACATCAATTGTCTCACTAGACTTGCAAGACTTATAGTTACCGCTCCTCTCACAAGCAAGTATTACTTGAGGTCTCATCTTGCCCTCACTTCCATAATCAGACCTTCTAATTACAATTACAATATTATTCATTTTCCCTTGTGCACGAGCCCATCTAAGTAATGCATCTCTATCATTGAATATCTACACATAAAACTTATATTATTTAAAGTTAAAATTTCAAACATTAATGCCACGTTAATGATATTAAAAAGGATTCCAGACCCCAAAAAAACTCAAAATAATTACCGAATATGTTGTGAATTGATCACTATATACACACTTTGTTCCCATATTGTTGCCTTTAGTATGGACGTCACCTTGTTTTTGTTCCTTCAATGGAAGTAAGGTCAAAATAGCTTGCATTAAATTTGTGGTCGACAATAAGTTACCAAAAAAATAAATATATTTCGGTTTGTCGTCATTGAACTGCAGGTAAAATTTCGATAATACACCACTGAACACCGTTCCATGATACGATGGATCTCCATTGCATATTGAGTTAAAGGCCGGTCAAACACAACCGAAATAGGTGCAACGTTTCGGTGGCATCCCACTGAATTTACTTATCGCGTTCGGTACTGATGTCTTGAATGAAACTAGAGACCATCATGAAATCCTAAACTTGAAAAATTCCAAAAAAATAAACGCATACCTCATTCGAAGCCTCTCTAACTTCAATCTCACCATTCATGAATAAATACAAGATATTTTTTCACCAATATAAACGTATAAACCTCGTTAGGATTGTAGGAACATGATGGTTTGAGAAAAAAGTCTAACTAGGGTTGCATGAATATATGTGGGGTGTAGTGAGCAATTTTAATTTTAATTTTAAATATTTTTTGTCTTTAACGATAATTACGTACAAGGGTAAAATATGTTATTTATGTTTAAAATTAGTATGAGGTGCAAAGAGCAAATAATGGAATGCCAATAAAATCTCCCTTATTATAACTTTCTATTATTAAATATATTCCTTGAATGAAGGGGGGACATTTGAAGAAATTACTATTGTATTGATTGCGCCCTTGCACAAAAGCGAGCATGCTTTACTTAAAAGAAAAAAAAAGTTAGGTAAGCCTTCATGGTTTGATCAATGACGAAACTCTTATGTGTAGATTTGTTCGTCTAATATTTCTCTAGACTTATGAATATTTTCATTATTTTATTTTTACAAAATGATATTCTAAACTACTCCACACTACATTAAATCAACTAGTCTCTAGGCCTACATCCTACTAATCCAACATCATTTGGCTCATAAATTCATAATTATTGCATGGATAAATGGAAGGTAGATTTAGATTGAAAGTTGGCAAAAGATTAGGCTGTAATTGCTGTGTTCTATTTTTTTATTGTCTAATCCTATACATGTAAGGGAAATTAATCTATTTGTTTGTACATGTTTATATTTGTTTTTGTGTAAATCAAGGTGTTTCAGGCCCTGTATATTGTCACGTTCTCAAGTTTTTGTTTAGATAGAAAGCCCGATCAGCAAAGCAAGACAAAGGATCTGGCCAGATCTAATTTTTCTTAAAAAAGGGTTGACCGTGCCCCCGCTGAGTGATGACAAATTCCAACTGAAAAATGAAAATAAAAATGATGCATGGTGCATGTGCAATGTTATCTTTTTCTTTTATAAACAAATAAAATAAAAATCAACACGTCCAATGTAGTGGTATTGGAAAGGAAAATACTTCCCTCCTTACTAGGTAAGTATGAGCTCTTACATTTCTACTAATAGCAATGTGTTATGTGTGCAAAACTTTTTCTTTTTGTGTTTTTGATCAATTGTTTTTGCATATGTGTTAAATTGTGATTCGCAGGAAGGAGGAATATCTCCTTACCGGTAAGGAGGCAAGTAGTATCCTATTGGAAACGGTAATTTCATTTTGGAACTTGTTTAAAATCTAGCTAGCTTGCATATTCTGCAAAAGATTTCATACCATGACGCTTTTTTAGTGGAAATTTCATGAAATTAAACAAAAACAATGATGAATTAATTCAAAAAACAGAAACAATCCTGCTGTTTCCTCTATAAATAAACAAATTAATTAATAAGTTTTTATTTGTTGTGAATGGAAAACAACCTTGCAAATGTTTCTTTTTGGTTTTGCTCGTAAATCTTTGGATTAAATGCATGAAGTCGGCGATCTATTGCACATATTTTGAGTTCTTGGGACAGTTTAATATATGGCCGCAAGACGAAAATCGAAAACAACAAAATTCATGTGAACCTAAATCAACCAAGTTTTTTATTATTGTCAGACTTACGTAAATAAATATTTATGTTGTCAGACAGAAGTAAATCTGAAGTATATATTGAAGCAAGATCAACAAATTAACAAGTATCTTATGTTGTTAGACAGCTTGCCAAGAAAACATATGAATCGCATTCGCATATAAAAATCAAAATAGATATAAATAAATAAATCCATCTACAGTATACACGACTGAAGGAATGACATAGCTGGTGTGACACAAACACGTTTGGTCATCTCTCTGTCCGTTCAGACATCCTGAAAGGCATTGCAATTAATAGCAATGCTGAGTTCAGCTCTGAAATTCATGAAATGCAATTTTCTTGCATGAAAGTTTGGAGAAAGCTTGGAGGGTTGTGTTTGAATTTTGAATTTTTGATGAAATTGGTGCACTAGTATAGTGGAGGTGGGGGGTGACAATGAGCAATTCTGGGAGTGGACGTATAAGCAGCTTTGACATGTGGAGAAACACTTCCATGGAAGCTTTCTCCAAGTCTTCTCATCATGAAGAAGACGACGAAGAGTCTCTAACATGGGCTGCTATTGAGAGATTGCCCACATATTTACGCATACGGAGAGGCCTACTTGCAGAAGAGGATGGTCAGGCCAGAGAGATCATTGATGTAAACAATCTTGGATTATTAGAAAGGAAGAGCTTGTTGGAGAGACTTGTGAAGATTGCAGAGGAAGATAATGAGAAGTTCTTGTTGAAGCTCAAGGACCGCATGAACAGGTAATTAATAATTCAAAACACTTTGTTCATGAAAAGTTCCTGACTCGTTATGTTTGATTAGCTTGTTAATGGGGTTCTTGAGAAATTTGTGTTTACTATGTGTCTGAAGAAATTCATGACTTGTTTGGTGTTGGTGCTTTGTCTGTTTGCAAACTTTAAACTCAGAGTTGGGCTTGAATTTCCGACAACTGAAGTGCGGTTTGAGCATTTAAATGTTGAAGCAGAGGCTTATGTAGGAGGCAGGGCATTGCCTAGTGTGTTCAACTTCTCCATCAATATGTTAGAGGTAATTCATCTTTTGAATCAAACAAACATGTATAAATAGTTTTAGGTGTAAGGTGTGTGTGTTTAGCTTGGGTCAACTTTCTCTTGTATATCAGATTTTCTTTTTTCTTTCTGAAGGGTTTCTTGAATTACCTTCATATTATTCCGAGTCGAAAGAAACCATTGCCAATCCTCCATGATGTAAGTGGGATTATCAAGCCAAGAAGGTAACTAATTAGGAAGATAAGTATTCAACATAGACTGCAGTACTTATCAAACTGTTTCTCAGAATTGCTGGTTTGAATAATTCTGCAGAATGACACTGCTTTTAGGCCCCCCGGGCTCTGGAAAGACCACCTTACTATTGGCATTGGCTGGAAAACTTGGTAAAGATCTAAAAGTAAGGATATGAATTATATTTCTATCTAATTAATAAGACTATCCTTCTAGTGTCAGTTTTCATGTTATGATTTCATATAATTTGCTTACAACTTAGCTTTCGGGGAGAGTTACATACAACGGACACGGGATGGAAGAGTTTATACCGGAGAGGACATCAGCTTATATTAGCCAGCATGATCTCCACATACCAGAATTGACAGTCAGAGAAACGCTGGCTTTTTCTGCAAGATGTCAAGGGGTTGGACCGCGTTATGGTCGGTTGAAAACACAGTGAAATTTCACATATCGAACTTATAAGTTTGAAGCATATTTCTTGATAATCTGAATTAAGTTCATTTGCATTTGTAAACTTTTCAGAAATGTTGGTAGAATTATCAAGAAGAGAGAAGGCTGCAAATATTAAGCCAGATCCTGATCTTGATGTTTACATGAAGGTATAAGAACAGCTGGATTGCTGGAGGAAATTAAATGTTATAGCTTTCTGTTTATAATTGATATATATAATATGTCAGCAACTACGCACGTGCTCCTTTGGAAAGCATTTTCATGCTCTTATATTTTTGCAGGCAGCAGCACTGGAAGGACAGGAAACCAATGTAGTTACAGATTACATAATCAAGGTACCCACAGTTTGTCCAAGTTAATGCCTTTATATAAAGATTACTACGTCTGTATAATTTATATGGTCAGAAACTGAAGTCTTTTGGCTTCTCCTTGTGTTTTTTTGCTAATATAATTTTGCAGGTTTTGGGACTAGAAGTTTGTGCTGACACCATGGTAGGGGATCAAATGAGACGAGGTATATCTGGGGGCCAAAAAAAGAGACTCACCACAGGTAGAACTTATGAATTATAGTTCTAGAACCAGACAAATTTTTTGCTACCAATTTCCAGACCCTGAAAGTGTCACAGTGCACTTAGGCTGATTCTTCTAAGAAAATGGTCAATAATAACAGGGGAGATGCTGGTTGGACCAGAAAAAGCACTTTTTATGGATGAGATATCAACTGGGTTGGACAGTTCAACAACATTTCACATTGTGAATTCACTCAGACAGTCCATCCACGTTCTCAATGGAACTGCCCTAATCTCTCTCCTGCAACCAGCACCAGAAACTTATGAACTCTTTGATGATATAATTCTCCTCTCAGATGGGCGCATTGTGTATCAAGGTCCACGCGAGAATGTGCTCGAGTTCTTTGAGCACATGGGCTTCAAATGTCCAGAGAGGAAAGGAGTTGCTGATTTCCTACAAGAAGTAAGTTGTGACTTACTTATAAAATGACATATATTCCCATTAATTCATTTCATTTCTCCAAAGAGATTGGACTTGACAATTATAACTTTATTTTGCTTTCTGCCTCTTGTTATTTCTATAATAGGTGACATCAAGGAAAGATCAAGAGCAATATTGGGCTGATAAAGATAAGCCTTATAGCTTTGTAACTTCAAATGAATTTTCTGAAGCAATGCAATCATTTCACATTGGTAGAGAACTTGGGGATGAGCTTGCCACTCCATTTGACAAGTCTAAAGGGAACCCAGCAGCTTTAACAACTAACAAGTATGGAGTTAGCAAGAAGGAACTTTACAAAGCTTGTATGTCAAGACAAGTTTTGCTTATGAAGAGGAATTCATTTGTCTACATTTTCAAAATGACCCAGGTAATTAGTATATGAGCATGCATTGAACTTTTACTTTAAATATAAGTAGAAAATCACTGGTTGATTCCATAAACGCAAAGTGAAATACTGGTATCGTGTTTTGGTTTCAGTTCATTATAATGGCTTTTACAACAATGACATTATTCCTACGAACTGAGATGCATCGACGTACCGTGGAAGATGGTGGGATTTACATGGGATCTTTGTTTTACACAATGATGATAATTATGTTCACTGGATTCTCAGAACTTGCTATGACTGTCATGAGACTTCCTGTGTTTTTCAAGCAAAGGGACCTTCTCTTCTTTCCTGCTTGGGCATACTCTTTGCCAACATGTCTGATAAGAATCCCTCTGACCTTTGTGGAAGCTTTCATTTGGGTGACCATGACTTACTATGTTATAGGTTATGATCCGAGCATTGAAAGGTGAAAAGCAAAACATGGCAGACATTACATTTCAATTTAGGCTCAAAATCATTTGTTATGAAATTGATAAAATTTTGTAATAGCAGGTTCTTCAAACAGTTCATTTTACTACTGTGCATTAGTCAGAGCGCAAATGGTCTGTTCCGATTGTTAGCGGCGGTAGGCAGGAGCCCAGTTGTTGCAAACACATTTGGGTCTGCTGCTTTACTTGTCCTTTTTGTTCTTGGTGGATTTATCTTATCACGAGGTGAATCGTTCATACAATTATATAATCATCATTTCTTTTCGGTTACCTGATTTGAATTTTGATGGTAAAAATGTCCTTTTCTTATGAAACTGTCCTTTTGTGACTCAGAAAGTATGCAACAATGGTTGTTGTGGGGATATTGGTTCTCACCGCTGACATATGGAATGAATGCTTTAGCTGTCAATGAATTTCTTGGAAAAAGTTGGAGACATGTAAGCATCTCTGTTATTATTATGAGTATGACTGAGATATAAGAGTAAGAAGAGGAGAATGTTGGTTAATATGTGTCTGCAAAATTGGGTTATAGGTTCCTGCCAACTCAACAGAACCATTAGGAGTTATGGTCTTGAAGTCTCGAGGGGTATTACCAGAAGCACGCTGGTACTGGATTGGAGTAGTAGCTTCACTTGGATTTGTTCTTCTGTTCAACTTCCTTTTCACTTTCGCACTTCAGTATCTTGATCGTAAGTACCAATTTAGACATTCTTCTGTCTTGAGTGGACAAAATATGTTCGGATGATGAGACTAATTTCCTGCAGCCATTGACAAGCCTCAGGCAGTAATGTCCAAAGAGGCCTTGGAAGAGAAACTTGCCGAGAACAATGGAGAGACCGTTGAGCTACCGTCAATGGGAAAGAGCTCTGTTGGTGGGTCATAAAGCTCCAAATATTAATTAGTCCATTTCTGCATTGTGGAGTTCAATGTATAAGTAATTTGTATGGTGTAACAATGCAGGAGTAGGGAATGAAAGTCTGGAGAGTGTCTCTACCAATCATACCAGGAGGCGAGGAATGGTTCTTCCTTTTGAACCCCTCTCAATTACATTCAATGAAATCAGATATGCAGTTGACATGCCAAAGGTATCTTTTCAACTTTTTGTATGGAGTAAAAATGCTGGGAGGCATTTTCATTGAAGTTTTGGATAATTTCCTCTGAAAAGCAACTTGAAATATTATAAGCATTTGATTATACACACAATATATTCAAAACAGCATACCACAACCCTATTGTAGAACTCTATGTTTAAATGATGATGCATAACAACATTCTCAGATTAGTTTTGAACCAATATCCAGTGCTAAATGCATTCACATCCTTCCTACATATTTTTGTAGGAAATGAAAGCTGAAGGCATAAATGTTTAAATGATGATGCATAACAACATTCTCAGATTAACTCTCTTATAGTTTTGAACCAATATCCAGTGCTAAATGCATTCACATCCTTCCTACATATTTTTGTAGGAAATGAAAGCTGAAGGCATAACTGAGGATCGGCTAGAACTTCTGAAGGGTGTGAGTGGTGCTTTTAGGCCTGGTGTCCTAACAGCTCTAATGGGGGTTAGTGGTGCAGGGAAGACTACTTTAATGGATGTCTTGGCAGGACGGAAAACAGGTGGATATATCGAAGGAAGTATCATTGTATCTGGATATCTGAAAAAGCAAGAAACATTTGCTCGCATATCAGGATATTGTGAGCAAACTGATATACACTCTCCTCATGTCACAGTCTATGAGTCTTTGGTGTATTCTGCATGGCTCCGATTGCCCCCAGAGGTTGATTCCCCAACCAGAAAGGTATACTTTCAACATATATTCTTCCTTTCAGCACTTAATGTTCAGTCAAGTCATTAACCTTGTATGTTCATCATAATTTTCATTATTAGCCTTTTATGCTCAGTCAAGTCATTAACCAAAAATCGGCATAATGGTTTGCAGATGTTCATTGAGGAAGTCATGGAGCTTGTTGAACTGACCTCAATAAGGGAAGCACTTGTTGGATTGCCTGGAGTGAATGGTCTTTCAACTGAGCAGCGCAAAAGGCTAACGATTGCAGTAGAACTTGTTGCCAACCCATCCATAATATTTATGGATGAGCCGACCTCTGGCCTTGATGCCAGGGCGGCAGCAATTGTAATGAGAACAGTGAGAAATACAGTGGACACAGGGCGAACTGTGGTCTGCACCATCCACCAGCCAAGCATTGATATATTTGATGCTTTTGATGAGGTGAGATACCTTTTTATGCTTTAGGATTAGACAAGTGGAATTTGTCACTTGTGTTCCAAGAACTTAAAAATTCAATATCCCATTGCAGCTGTTTCTTCTGAAACGGGGAGGAGAAGAAATATATGTTGGTCCTTTAGGCCACCAGTCTTCCCAGTTGATCAATTACTTTGAGGTTAGGCTTATAAATATTAAATACTAAAACTATACCATCTGCAATATGTTCTGCTCAACTGCTAACATAATGGAGTTATATTTCATCAAGGGAATTAATGGAGTTTCTAAACTAAGAGATGGCTACAATCCTGCAACCTGGATGTTGGAGGTTACTTCAGCAGGACAAGAAGCGGCTCTTGGGGTTAATTTCACTGAAATATATAAGAACTCAGAAGTATACAGGTAGAAACAAATATAACACAGTTTGGATTGATCAGTTGAAATTTTAAATCATATGCGCAACAGTCTTATATATTGCTGCACTTCTGTTTCGGCTACTAATGATCATGTGTAAAATATTTAGGAGAAACAAGGCCTTGATCAAGGAACTAAGTACTCCTCCACCAAATTCAAGAGACTTGTTCTTCCCTACACAGTACTCTCAGTCTTTCTTTACCCAGTGCATAGCTTGCCTATGGAAACAGCATTGGTCTTACTGGCGAAATCCGTCATACAGTGCAGTGAGACTTTTGTACACTGCTGTGATGGCTCTAGTATTTGGGATAATATTCTGGGATCTTGGCTCCAAAAGGTACACTGAAAAACAATGTAATTCATTTGTGATAGACTGTCACCTAAGGTTGTGACGAAACATGAAACGTAATGTATAAAAATGGCGTCTCATCACCTGGTGCATAATTTTGGCAAAAACTGTTTGTGAATTGCAGGCATAGGCAACAAGATCTTTTCAATGCAATGGGATCTATGTACTCTGCTGTTCTCTTCATTGGAATACAAAATGCCTCATCAGTGCAGCCAGTTGTAGGCATTGAGAGGATAGTCTTTTACAGAGAAAGGGCTGCTGGAATGTACTCAGCTTTTCCATATGCCTTGGGACAGGTATGTTACTAATTTATTTATTAGTGTTAGTGAAGAATTTAAGTGCCCATTTGGATGAAAGGATTTGAAATAGATTTGGATTTAAAATGTGAATTTTCAAGTTTTGTGGAATTTCATCATAATTTCTCATCAAATTCCATTTCATGGTAGGTTCTGATTGAGCTCCCATACACTTTGATCCAAACAATCATCTACGGAGTTATAGTATACAGCATGATCGGATTTGAATGGACAGTCAGCAAGTTCTTGTGGCACATGTTCTTCATGTACTTCACCTTCTTATACTACATCTTGTATGGCATGATGATTGTGGGCATTACTCCAAACACAACCATTGCCGCTGTCGCTTCCTCAGCCTTCTACCCGTTATGGAACGTCTTTTCAGGATTTATCATTCCGAAAACAGTAAGTACCGCATGTCAACAATAACCATGCACATGCTTGTTTGTTTGATTTAGCTTATCAGACCATGGCTCACAATGTTGTTGTTTGGGGGTAACAGAGAATTCCAATATGGTGGAGATGGTTCTACTGGGTATGTCCAGTGTCTTGGACCTTGTATGGATTGTTTACTTCACAGTTTGGAGGCATCAAGGACACACTTGATTCGGGTGAAACTGTGGACGATTTTATAAGGGCTTATTTTGGATACAGAACAGACTTTTTAGGTGTTGTTGCAATTGTGCTTGTTGGGATTTCAGGGCTCTTTGGTTTCATCTTTGCATTTTCAATCAAAGTAATTAACTTCCAAAAGAGATGAAGACAACCCTTATACATACATACATGTGTATATGTAAACATATATGGTGCAAAAATCCATGATTTCTGGTTTTGCTGAAAGTCCATGATTATACATACGACACGCGGGTTGGACAAGTAAGTAGGTTGCTTTGGTTAATCAGTGATTTCTATGGACCGGTTGCTTCACAATTTAAAGACATAAAAGACACATTTACATTTGGGTGACATTGTGCCTGTGGAAGACTTTATAAGGAGATGTTGCAATTGTGCTTGCTGGGATTTCAGTGCTGCTTGGGTCATCTTTGCCTTCTCAGTCAAGGTATTGAAATTTCAAAAGAGATGAAAAACTGAGAACATTATACATGTAAATTATGCAAATTCAACCTCTTCAAGTTTTGATACTTAAGGGCTAGTTTGGCATTGCTGTGCTTTAAAAAAAAATTGCTTCTGCTATGTTGCGAGAATAATCATCTGTGAAAAAAATCAGTTAGGCATTTGGTAAACTATATTTGAAAAAGTGTTATGAGTAATCAAAGTATTTGGTAAATTTTTATCAGAAGTGCTTTTAGTGTGTATAATAACCAAAAAGGACATGATGATGGAACTATTTGTTTTTTTCTTCATTTTCTTTCTACTTAAAAAAAACTTTACTATATAAATTTTTTTGTTTTTATTTATTTATACAATACATGCGTTTCTCTCTTCTCAGAAAAGTAGATGCCTTTTGTTATATATTGAATGCTAACCCAATGACACCAATTGGAAACCCAACACAGCCCATCTCTCCACTTCAATTTTTCTCTTTATACCATTTACAAGTTTCTTTCTTTATTCCTTCATCTAACCAAAAATATCTCATGTTTCCCCAGTTTTTTTTTTCTTTTAATATGTTTCCCCAATTGTTTTTAGTACTTTCGAGTAGGTGAGACTGAAAACGGGAAAAATTGTATGTTGGGTTTATGTTTTGGTGTTCTTGCAATGGGAGATAACATAGTGAAGAAAGTAGCCACGGTGAAAATACAGATTTCTGGGTTACAACCATGGAGATTTTAGATGGTTTACAGTGTTGTAGTGGGGGTAGTTGAGCCCCCTCTCTCGAAGTTGGGACTACTGCATCAGGATCTTTCCACCCAAAACCAAAATCAAGAACAACAAACTCAGGTGGAACATGAAACTCATCACTCTCTCCCTCTCACTCACTCTGGTTTTCTCTCTTCTTCCTAAAACCTGCAACAAATAGAAACCCCCAAGAAAAACCCCCAATTTGACAAAGAAAACCCTAAATGCAGAAAGTTTGAGAAGTAGAAAATTGAAAAATCATAAATGTAATTACGTTACTGATGAGTGGGCAACCTTCTTAGCAATTAATTTTCTCATGTGCACAATGAGAGTTCCAGCAGTAGTAGAGCAAAGAGTAGAGAAGAAAAAGGGGTTTGTAAAATTGGAGGTACAAAAGACTGTCAATTTGAAAAATAAGTGAGGGTATTATGGGAATTTAAAGTTGGGTAG